TTTAGTGTCCTGCTAGAACTTCCTTTTTCCCTTCCCACTGCTGACTAATCCACCGTTCACACCTCGCAAAGTTGCGACCCCTGTATCCCCCCCTTGCGCGGTCTTTATTACCATTCCACTAATCCCTTCCCACATCTGCTTGACGTTTCCCTCCAGGCCGCCGTTGGCCTGCTGCACTACTTCGTCCCAAATGCACTTCTCCTTTTTTTCACTAGTCCCTTCACCTGTTTTCTCTTGACCCTGTACTTTTCCCAACTCTCAGACGCCTCACTCAGGTACCGCTTGAAGACTTCTCTCCCTTCCCCTATTTCTTCTTTCAGCTCGTCATCCCACCACTTAGCCGATACCCCACATCGTACCACCTTCTTTCCCACTACTCTCTCTGCCGTTGCGTTCACGATGGACTCCCACCCTTCAATCACCCTGTCCCCTGCTGCTTGTACGTCTACCTGTCCGTCTTCGACGCTTCTCAGCAGTTTCCTGAAGGATTCTACTCTACCAGCCAGTCCCTTCTGGAATTCATCCCGTGTCCCATCGTCTCCCAAACGCCCTACTTTCCACCGGAACACTTTCCTCTTGGGCAAGGGGGGGCCGGGAAAAAAAAGTTGTAAGTTGAAAAGAAAGAACGGTTGTACGTTGCGCGATTGATTGTGTTGATGCACGATCAACTACATGCCTCCAGTTGATGACTCAATTCCACATGCGGTCCATTACTTCACACCTTCTTGGAGCGCTCCACAAACTCCTGCCACAGGTCACCCAGTTTTCCGGCCTGGGTTAGTTGCTGTTTCTTGTGCACCTTCCCATCCTCCATGACTTGATCCTCGAACCGAAGCCACCCGACCACTCTGTCCGCCATAGACCCCAGGGCGTCGCAGTTTATGGGGATGCTGCCTGGGTTGCCAAACCCGCATTCGGAGCATTACATCGCAACGCATGCGGGCTTCCTCCCCCAGTACTCAAACCTACCCCCTCGGTCCTCCTCAAGAAAGTCTACCTTTTCGCAAGCCAAAGCCTCAGAAAAGCTGTGCAGATCTTTACACATGGCCATCCACTTTTCCATACCCACTCCCGGACCCTGCTGCGTGTGGATCTGGCATGCACATTGCGATACCTTGGGTTCCACTGTGACACACCAAAAGCGAACATTTGAAACGGACAGAAAGGGGACAGCAGGTCAGCAAGAGGCCGTCCTCCTGGGGCTGTGACACAGCAGAAGAGTCCATAACGCTGGAACGGTGACTACGCTGTTTCGTGAAAAAAAATGGAGCTCTCTCCTCATGTCTACCCACCAAAACACCCACACCACGTCGAGAGGAACACCGTCCGCCCAGGGTCCGTGAAGCCGCTGCCTTCCCTCAGCAGCTCCGCCTTAA